TGGTCAAGGAGTAGAAAAACTCTCAGAACTCAAAGGTATGTTAAAAGTGGAACTTTCTACAGGAAGGGCAATTGAGAGTTAGTGTGTTAAGACACTGATTATGTCAGAAGTGAATTCTGCATGTTCTCTGTTGGAAAGGACAGTCTATTAATATACAGTGAACTATCAGAGCTACCTGACAGTCCTTACACTGGGGCACCAGGAATCTCTCCATGTGATTTCTGTGCAAGAGCAACTCATCCCTAAGTCATAATCATGCAAGTGTAGTTTCCCAACACCTTACAACTATGGAAAAAATACCATGAACTTAACTGCAGTTTAATTAAAAAAAATTTTGTCCGATAATTCAGATCAATGCTTTGGTCATAGTTGTTGAAAGAGAACTGAAAAATAGTCTGAAATATGGTGCTACACGAGAGCCCAGCAGATCATTAGTATTAGATGGAGCAGCTGAGCCTGCATGTTTGTTACCCTGAATGTCCGTGGCCAGGAACCCGACAAAATGCTAATACTGCGTGTGCTAGAAATATGACAACTATAATTGTACATGAAGAATGATGTGAAGTGAGAAATCAAATTTGTGGATACCTCATAACACAAAGTTTGAAACAGTAATGAATGAGGAAGAGGATAAGATCCAATTCCTTGGATCAAAACTTCCATTGCTGTGACAAGGCACCTCCTTGAAGGGTTTCTAAATAATAGAAATATTGTATATTGCATATATACTTATCCCAGGGCACCAACTGCACTTAATTCATCACCTAGACATATGTAACATTTGCCACTGGACATACATAGGAATCAATCTCCATCAGGTCAATACCACTACAGTAGGTTTCATACACTAGCCATCATATACCACACTTTCACACTTTGGGCTGGCATTTGAAAAGTTCTGTCGTTATAAAATCCTTGTGATTTATTCTCACTGTGTGCAGTATACAAGACACTGTGGACAGTAGGAGTGAACTCAATATTTTAAATGTGGTAAAAAAAAATGCTATTATAAAGAAATACAGTATGTAATTATGTATGCAAAAAATAAGAAAAAAATTTTTTGCTATAAAATAAATTTTATTTACTTGCTTAAATATGGCATTATTTACTATATTACGGATGCTAAGTTTACCCCTACTATCAGCAACACCTCATATAAAGTACAGCATGGGACAGAGAACCTGTCCTTTGGAAATGCCACTTTGTCATTTTTTTTTTTCAGACTGGCATCCTGTGACTCCATTCCCTTTGTGTAGATATCATTTCCTCAACATTTCAAAATCTCCACCAGAGCTCTCTACTATATCTTTCACCAATGCAGTGTAATGTTGTAAACCCCTTATAGATTTAGCTTCTTTCCATGAATATAACAACAGTAATTCAATCTGCCATCTCAATGATTCATCACTTCCTTTCTTGCAGGTAATCTTTCATTCAGTGGCATACCATCCCAGATATCAAAACCTGCTTTACCAATTCATAATTTAATTACCAGATGAAATGGTATATATATTGCTAACAAGTATAAAGACTACGATACAAGTTGCCCAAAAAAAAACATTTTATTGGGAAAATGTTGAGCTGTGTAGAGCTTTATCAAGTCATAACTATAAAGCTCTACAATGAGTTTAATAATATTTCCAAAAAAGCTTGTTCTGCAACTTATGTCTGTCTTCAAACAAAGTAATCACCTGAAGGCACTGTATAAAGGCCTTTCAACAGTCCAAGAAAATGTACTGTACCCAACCTTCTGTTTGTCTTATTTCTTGATCTTCTCATAGAACTCTAGGTTAGTGATGCACAATATTCCTTCTAAACCCATGTTGTTGGTGGTCTGGAGTGAATCCTTTCCTCTAGAAATGGTTTGCCAACACTTGACCATAGAGAAGAGCACCAAAATACGTAATGCTCATAATAACACGAGAAATACCATGCAAAGTTTTTTCTCTAACAGGATAACCAGTATAGATGTACACATATGAGTTCACGCAGAGCTATCTGGTTAAAGCTAGCACCTTACGGGGGCACTGTGGACGCAACATGAGACAAGGGACGCAACAAGCAGCAGGTTCTCTTATTAAACATAAAGCATTACCATGTAGCTCTGGTTTATATATTAAGTGCTGTAAAGAATTACATCAGCGCAGAGGTCCTGTGCAAATATATACAAAGTGCGCTAAACTTAAACAGCCTATACCTAGGCTCTACTGTTAAAAGCAATGCAATCATTTAACAATAGGTGATCTGAACGATATTTATATCTACAGGAACACTGTTAGACACTTGGCTTATGGATACTACCAGAGAAAACGATACAGAATAATGATAATGGGATACTGCAACACTAGGGATATGCCAACCTGACTAGCATGAGAGCAAGTTTCTCACAACCAAGTCCCATCATGGGCAGGGTGGGCGTGGGAGGAAATCTTTAGGCGGGCGTTGTGCTTCTTTCTGCCCGACACGGCAAGATGACAGAAAGGAAAGAAAGAATGCAATCAGTGAAGATGGTGTGTGAGTGATGTCGTGCAGAAACGTTGAGAAGAGAATTGGCCAACAAACTTACAAATTGTTACATTTCTGAGACTAGTATCTATAATCAACAGTCAATCATGACCAAAAAATGTAAAACAATATGATTTTTGTGCAGTGATACATGCAATGGCAAGTAGAGCTATTAGCTGTGAAGGGAAAAAGTGTCAAATATAATCCATTTGTCTTTCGAATTAATACCAAAAAAGTAATTATTGTATATAGCTCTAGGTATTACATGGTAAAAAGGCAAGGGGGGAAGAAAGAGTGTTAAGGGATATATATGGGATAAGGACAGGTAAAGGTTAAGGTGGTAAAAAGAAATGGATGATGAGGAAAGTAAATCACTTCCATACATACTGGGGTTAGGAATTAGGTTAAGGAGACAAGAAACTGCTTAGTGAATATCCTTAATGACAAACCATAAAAAAAAAAAAAAACTTAAATAATGGGAACAGTCTTGATTTTCACAAATGCTCTTCAGACTTGCAAAAGTAATACATGTATATAAAACTATTTAGCATCATTGTGCAATGCACCAAGTTTCCAACAGCAGCATTAATTACTGAGCAAGTATAGTATCATCTCCAAGGAATACTTTTTGAATACTTTGGAATACTTTTCGACACAAAATTAATTTTTAAAGATCTTTCTAATATACTGTATTCCACTTTAATTTAATGTATTATTGGAAAACATGCTCAGCAATTCATAAGAAGCACCTGAAGCTTCATGGCTATGTTAAGGCAAACAGGAGGTTCCCAGCTTACAAACTTGCTAATTACATCCACACTCAAGCCAAGGAACTTAAGAACCAGTTGAGGTTTTACAAATGTCAAGGCGCTGTACGTGTATGAATACATAACCATTCTATATATACAATTGCTTTTTTATACAAATAACTCATTTGTAAGTCAAAAAACTAGGAATGCAAGTCTTTTGTAAATTAAGAGACCTCCTGTATATACGATACTTTGACTGCCCATTGTTTAGGTGTGTAACATGATTCTCTAATCCTTCAACTACTATTTATTGTGTAGAAATAATCTAGTATTATCCTAATTGAAAGTTTACACTGTCCTATGATTCAAATGTTGCAATAATGAGTTAACTTTTCAATTATATAAAATTATAACCATCCTCTATCTTTACTGCATATCATTCAAAATAGACATTTCAGATCATTTAAAATAATGGCACTACATTAAGAGTAAACTAAAGTACAAATAAACGATATTCACAATATATACATTGGAGAAGAGGAATTCTAAATATAAATTATCTAAACCCACTTGTTAAGTGGGTTTAGAAAACTTCATGTCTGACATCTATGGAAAAAAACATTTGTAGCAAGGTATGATTAGATGGAAGAAAAGAAAAACAAACAATACCAACTGGATTATAAGAAAGGAACATACGTTAACCTATAAAAAACATGGACAAGCTTGATAGAGGTCCAAAGACAAGCTACAAAATAGTTCTAAGAGCAAAAAGAAAATACATAAGTTACAAAGAATGGTCGAGAGCATTAAATATTTTTAACTGGCCGAAGGGAGCTAATGAGAAATTATAACCACTCTTACAGTAAATGATTATACAAAAAAAAAAAAAAGAATAGGCAAGGAAGATTTCTTAACAATCAACAGGAATAAACAAAACACAGGCACGAGCTGTGACAACCCCCTGCAACCATATAGCTGAGCGCACTCGCACACGCACACATACACACACCAGTTGTGACTCGACCCCGGCGAACACTAATAGGCAAGCACACACTCAGACACAAACACATACGCACAAATACACACACACACATAGCCGAGTAATGTACACTGAACATATGAACTAACACATACATAACTAGCTGAGAACAGTACACACAAACATACACCCACAGGCTTAACAACATAAAAAGTTGAAACAATAATATTTATATAATTAATGATCATATGATGCTACAGGAAAAATATTGAAGTATAAAATCATATTTTGTTAAAGTATGCAGACATAAAGATTACTTTTCTTGATTACCATTATATATAAAAGTATTTATACTACTGTGGATCACCACTAAAATATTTACATGGAAAAGTTTGCAATTCTGTGCAGAGTAAAGCATTCTTTATGTACTGTACATACAATATACAATTGCAAATAGTCCATCCTTTTATATTTAAAATCTAATATCATGTTAATCCCAGGAATGCCAGTAATAATCTTTATAGAAGACCCAAGAATAGGCTAATGGTGCAAGGTCCTATAATTTAATACCTATACAGGATTGGACTTATGTAAACTACAAAACACTTCTCATTTCAGAGATTTAATTATTTGCAATGTGGAGAAAGTGAGCACAAAGCATGGATAAACTAGGTTGATTGAGGCAATGCAAATCAGACAAGAAGAGAAATGGCAAGGCTGAAGAGGAAAGAGATGTGAAATTAAAAATAAATCAAAGAAAGCCTTACCGGATCTGGTTACCAAAGTTTCTAAAGCGAGAGACTTTTCTGTGTCTAGGAAGCTCTTCTATACCTCTGGATGGCTTCAGCATCAACTGCTCCTGCAATGACGACCACTCACATTATAATGAAAAATACAGTATTATATGAATAAATAAACATTAAATGCTGAATTGCCCACACAGTTTTAGTGCTTTTTTTCAATACTATATGTAGTTTGAAAATATATGAGGTACCGCACCTTAGAAATAATTAGACATTTGCAACAAGGCACAACCTTGTACATAGCCTTTAATACAAATTGAAAACATACACACACACATGCACTCCTCATTTATATTCATCTATATGATCCTTGAAACATCATGTTACGTAAACGTTCCTCCTGACCCCGACGTAGGTAAGGGGAGAAAGAAAGATGCAAGATCAAGCATTTTGAAACATGACTCTGAAAATAGCGAGCTAGTTTGGCAACCCACAGATATTCGTATAGAATGTTAATTCAAGTGTTCTCAGTGTTTTCCTTTAATTAAAAAGTAAAATGTATCAAAGCATCATTTTCTACTACCTATAGTAATATCTTGCACCATTTGCAACTTGATAATGGTACAAAATGAGCCAAAATGCTATCATAATTTCATCTAATTTGTTTGAATAAGATTATTATAACTTGTTTTTCATTATGTATTCAAGTTATATTTAATTTTTTCCTACCCATTTTACTACTTTTGTATGATGTAGTTAACACAATTGTTTGGAGAGTATTTTTTTTAATGCATCAGCCATTTCTCACCAAGGCAGGGTGACCCAAGAAAGAAGAAACTTTCATCATCACTCACTCCATCGCTGTGTTGCCAGAGGCATGCTGATACTATGGTTCAAAAAACTGCAACAAATCTCCACCCCTCCTTATCAACAGCAAATAAAGTTTGGTGAATGACAGAGAGGCACTAGCACATCACAAGGCATCAATATGTTAGGACGTGTATGACAAACCCATCCTTGACCTGTTTCCCACCAAGGCTCACTCACCCAAAGAAGGAAAATGTATTTATCATAACTCATTCCTAGTTTTCCTTCCAGAAATGGACAAACATTACAGTTCTGCTAATCCACCATTGTAAACATGTAAATATGATCCCTGAACCATCTGCCTAGCTCTTCAACCATCCAACTGTCTAGTTCTATATAATTTTAGTCAGAAAACTAGGATAATAATCCAAGTTAGAAAGAATCTCTTTCCCCTTAGCTAGAGCAAAATGATTTTAATAGAATGATGATTTTACAGGTCTGGCAACAAAATTTTTTTTTATATCAAGCAAAGTGAAATCACGTACAATAACACTAATAAATAAAAGACTGAAAAAGAGTAAAGGCATCAAAAGATGGATATAGACCAAACATGTAAATATAATATCATATAGGAGAGAACCAATTTTATGCAAGTTTTGTTCTAAAATTTCTCTAGTACATGTTGTTTAAAACAGATCCTCTACTATATACTACATTTTATTTGTTTGTATTGTTTTGTGACTGAACACATACAACAGACATGCATAATATAATCTGAGAAAAATTAGGTATTTAATTTTTATCATACACGTCATAATTGATTATTGAAATGTAAAAAAACTCTCAGAAGAAACACAGCCAAGATACAAGAAAATTTATCACTGCAAGAAAGACACTTTGCCGAAGATCTTGTATTTCTGACACAAAGTGATAGGCATGCCTGTACTGCCATGCCACAGGGGGCTAAAGCCAACTATTAAAGGCCTACCACATCTGTTCATACCTACCTTCCTTGTTGCCCAGCTAACCATAATGGCCTATATATGTAGTCTGTTGTCTACCTTGCACTGTAATAAGCTAAAGTCAACCATGAATTAGTTTACTGATTTGGAATAATGGCTATAAGCTGACATACAGTAGTAGTAAAAAACTTATAGCAAAGAAATTCATATTTATACAATGTTTTTTCTCACTGGGTTAAACATACATTACATAAATAAAAAGTTCTTTTCCATAATTGACTTTGTACTACCCTAGTTTATGCATATGGCTGATCACCTTCCGAAAGAGAGAGAAAGGGATATATATATATATACATGTATATGTTTGTGTCAACACACCGGCAGTATCCCACCGAGGCGGGGTGGCCCAAAAGGAAAAACAGAAAAAAGTTTCTCCTTTTAAATTTAGTAATATATACAGGAGAAGGGGTTACTAGCCCCTTGCTCCTGGCATTTTAGTTGCCTCTTACAACACGCATGGCTTACAGAGGAAGAATTCTGTGTGTGTGTGTGTGTGTGTGTGTGTGTGTGTGTGTGTGTGTGTGTGTGTGGTGTGTGTGTGTGTGTGTGTGTGTGTGTGTGTGTGTGTGTGTGTGTGTGTGTGTGTGGTGTTGTGTGTGTGTGTGTGTTACTCACCTAGTTGTACTCACCTAGTTGAGGTTGCGGGGGTCGAGTCCGAGCTCCTGGCCCCGCCTCTTCACTGATCGCTACTAGGTCACTCTCCCTGAGCCGTGAGCTTTATCATACCTCTGCTTAAAGCTATGTTAAAGTGTATGGTGTGTGTGTGTGTGTGTGTGTGTACTCACCTAGTTGAGGTTGCAGGGGTCGAGTCCAAGCTCCTGGCCCTGCCTCTTCACTGGTCGCTACTAGGTCACTCTCCCTGAGCCGTGAGCTTTATCATACCTCTGCTTAAAGCTATGTATGGATCCTGCCTCCACTACATCGCTTCCCAAACTATTCCACTTACTGACTACTCTGTGGCTGAAGAAATACTTCCTAACATCCCTGTGATTCATTTGAGTCTTCAACTTCCAACTGTGTCCCTTGTTACTGTGTCCAATCTCTGTAACATCCCTTTACCTTATAGTCTTTTCAAATTGACTTTTTTTGTTTCCCTTTGTTTGGCTAGGGTTTCCAAAGGGGTTATCCAATATGGGCCAGGTACAGGGGGTGTCAGGGCGAATTTTCCCTTTTAAATTGGAATTTTTGAGGTTTCTAAAACCCTTCCCCTTGGCTTTTTGGGTTAGGGCGCTTAGGAGATGGGGTTTTTTGTTTTTTTTGGGTTTGGGGGTTGTGTTTTGGTGGGGGTTTGTGTTTGTTGGTTTTTGGGGGGTTACCACCAGGTCCCCCCAAAAAGTAGTTGCTCTCGGGGCTGCCTTTTTCAGGGGGCCCTTTAATTTTTGTCCCCCGGAGCGCCCCACACCTCGCTAAAAACCCGGACCTATTTTGTGTGGTGTGGGGGTTGTTGTTGGGTTTTTTTTTTTTTGTTTGTTGGTGGGTTGAACTCAACCAATTGTGGCCAGGTTCTGCAGCCTCCCCGCCTTTTTTGGGTTTTCGCCTTCTTCTCGAGTAAATTTTTCCTTCAATTTAGTATCTGCAAACACACCTCAACTTTCCCCTTCCTCTGTTTTTAAAAAACCCCAAACCCCCTGGTTTTTGGACTACCCCTGGGGGCCCCCGGGGTACGGTGCCCACTCTGCCCACCCCCCCCCGTCCACCCTTGTCCCCAATTTCCCTGAATTTGTAGTCCTTCCATGTTCCTGCTTGGTCTCCAGTTTTTCCCAACTCTTTGTGGAAACTTTTAAACCCTTTTTGCAGTCCGTTGAAAACCCCCCCCCTTCTCTTTTTTACTGCTTTCAATGTAAATAAACTCCATAGGGTAACGGTTTTCCGCCCCTGAAAACAATGTGGTGCTTTTCCCCCTATTTGTACCCCTTTTTTTGGGGGTGCAGGGGTATTTGTTGGGCCCCTCCACGGTTGCCTGGTTTTCTCCCCCCAGATTTTTCCCTTTGAAAATTTTGTAGGTTCCCCTGCCCCCTAGAAAGGAAAATAAACCTTCAATTTTATGAAAAATACCCAAATCTCCCCATCATTTGGTTTTAATTCCAAATTGGGCCCTTTTTTCTTGCCCCCCCTGGAACACCGCGTTTTTTACACCAGTTTTTTTTGTGTTATATGTCTCCCCTGCCCTCCTTCCCCCATTTCACATTTTTTTACTTTTTCTGGACTTCCCCGGTCGGGCAACCTTGTCAAACCTTTGTATTTCTTGTTTCTTGAGTGCTTTATCAATCTTTCCAAAAAGGGGGCCACCCAGGGGGCCAAAATTCCGGTTGTCATTCTTGAACGATTTCCTTCCCCTTTTTGGAACTGTTCCAGGTTTGCCAAAACCCAATGCCTGCGCATTTATCTGATATGTGTGCTTCCGGAACTGCCGGTTTTTCCCCCAATCTTTTTTGAGGAGGTTTGCATCTTTGGGCCCACCACCTTCTCTTTTTGGGGTCTTCTGTGTCCCTTTTTTCAGACTTTGATTTCGGATTTTCGAAACATTTGTGGACCATTTTGCCCCAGGTCCGGGGTTTCTTTAAGCCTGCGGCCTCTCAGTTTATTTCCTCAAACTTACATCACTGCAAAACTTTGGGCCTTGGGAAAACCCTTCGTTCATGCTTCAATAATCCAAAAATACCTTCCCTAAACCGACCCTTGGGGGCCCCCTTCCAGGTGCCCCTGTGTCCCTCCGGGACTGTTTTGCCCCCTGTGGGGTATTCCACCAATTGCGTTTGCCCCCTTCCTTTTAATTTGCGCGGCCGTTTCCTAATCTTTTAGGAATTTCCCCTTTTTCGAAAAAGTGCAAAAACCCCCCCTTCTCTGGTTTCTTATTTTTGTTTTTTTTATCATAAAACTCCAGAAGGGTGAAACAGGATTTGCTTCCTAATTGTGCGGGTTCATTTAACCTTGTTCCTTTTCCCAGGTGTCCAACTTCCTCCTGTTAATTTTTTCCCCCAAATTTTGATAATTTTTCAGTCGGGCCCACAGGCTATAGTTTTTTTGCTCTTTTTTTTCCTTTTTTAAAAATGGGAAACTACATTTGCCGTCTTCCTTCTGGTTTGCCCAGTTTCCACTTTTGAAGTTTGGTAAGTGCCCACAATACCTCCCTTCTAAGGACCCCGGGATGTTTCGGTCCCATTGCTTTATATCGATGCCCCTTTGCATTTTTTCCCCCCCTTCACTTTTGTTTTGGGTTGTGTCCGGGTTTTAATAAACTTTAAGTGAAAGTTTTAGTAAGGCAAAATCTTTGGGGCATTTATATTTAAAAAACTAGAAGGGTGAAGGGGGGGGAAGGGGGCGGGGGAAATTTTTTGCGGTTGGTGTAATTTTGAAATAAATTTTTCAATAAGGTCAATAAGTATTTTTAAGGGGGTTTTTTTCCCTTTTTTAAAAATGGGATTTCCCTTTGTTTTTATATTTATAGTGGGGTTTGGGAAAAGTTGGGGGGGGTTTGGAGAGGCAGGTTTTAAAATTTTTTAAAGAACCCAAAAGGGGGGTTTTGTCCGCTGCCTTTGGATGAACTGTGCTTTAATCTGGGGTGGGTTGGTGGTGTTTGGTGGTGTGAAAAGAAGAAAATTAAAGGGTGAATTTGGGAAAGGTAAGGTTTGGGGTAAAAAGATTAGGGATAAAAAGTTGGATACAATTGGGGGAAAAGGGGGGTTTTGGAGGGGTGAAGATTAAGATATTGGGATGGAGGCAAGGGGGTTTATGAAAGGGGGGAAAATTTTTGAAGTAGGGGAAAAGATGGGGGTGCAAGGGTTGTAAAAAAATTTGTTTGGAGGAAAAAGGGGTTTGAAGAGGATAGTTTTACCAAAATGGGGTGAAGCTGGGTGATGAATTTTGCCAAAAAGGGTGGAGGAGTGGAGATTTGTTGGGAATTTGTGGTGTGAAAAGAGAAATTTTTTTTGGAATTAGGGGGGTGGGAAAAAAAAAAAATGTTGAGAGGGTAGGAAGGGGGTTGGGGGTGGTTCGGAATTGGAGTGGGCGCAGAAGGGGTTCAGGTGTATCAGTTGGGGAAAAGGAGGGGGGTAGGGGTGGCTAGGAAAGGTTGGAGGGGGGGGGAAAGGAGGTTTTGTGTGCGGGGTTGGGATTCCGCAGGATGCTGAGCTTTGGGATGGAGTGAGGGCAAAGGTTTTTAATCGGTTTCTTTGGGTGGAAAAAAGTAACATTTTAAGGGGGCGGGAAGGGGCGGATTGATTTGGAGAGGGAAACAGTGCTAAAATCTGAAAGGAGGGGTTGTTAAATTTTTTGCATTTTTTAAAAACTGTAGTGTAAAGACCTTTTGGCAAGACAGTGATGGAGTGAATGAGGGTGAAATTTTTTTTTTGGGCCCCCCTCCCTTGGTGGGAATCGGCAGTGTGTATAATAAAAATAAAATATTATTTATTTATTATCACACTGGCCGATTCCAAAAAGGCAGGGGGGCCAAAAAAAAAGAAAAACTTTCACCATCTTCACTCATCATGTCTTGCCAGAAGGGTGCTTTAATCGTTTTTAACTGAAACATTAACACCCCTCCTTCAAGTGCAGGCATTTATTTCCCTCCCCGGACTCAAGTCCGGCCTCCCGGGTTTCCCCCAAACCCCTTTAAAAATTTTACTTTGTCACACCCCAACAGCACGTCAAGTAAAAAAAAACCATTTGTCTCCATTATCCTATCAAACACCTCAGGGCATCCTGGGAAGTCAAGCCCCCGACACAAAATCCTTTCCCCCCCCCTCCAATTTTTCCTGGCGACCCCTACCCCCCCTTCCCTTTCCCACTAAGACTGATACATCTTGAAGTCCTCTTTTTTGCTCTTTCTTTTAAAGTCGAACCCACCTCAAAACCCTTCCTAGCCCTCTGGACCTTTTTTGAAAATCCCCTCCTAATTAAAACTACAATTTTTCTGCTTTTTTTTCCACCCCATTGCCTCGAAGCTTTCCCCCAAACACCCCTTTCCCCCAAGCCTTCCCCGCTGCAACATTCCCCCCAGTTTCCACCCATATAAGAGCTTTGGTAAAAATACTCTCTTTCACCCCCTCTTTCCCTCCAAGGACAAAGTTCTTTGTCTCCACAGACCCAATGCACCACTCACCTTTTCCCCCTACATTTCTTTTGTTCACCTCATCTTTCTAGCCACCGCTAACACGTCCACTCCCAAATTGAATACTTTTCACCCCCCCATATCTCTCCCCC